ACAGCTGATTGCTGTTTGTGTGTGTTCATTGTTGTGTCATTCTTGTGTGTTGTGTTTATTATTTGTGTGTGTGTGTTGATAGTTCAATTTGTTTTGTATTTAAAAACAAACTTGATGTTGGCCAATCACAAAGAAATTGTTTGTATTATGTTTGGGTGTTGTGTGGACTGTATCTCTATTTTCTTTGCTTTAGTAGTTTTGAAGAGGTGAATACTCCATCTTAGTTTTCAACAATGCTCCCAGTCTCTATTCATAGTCTGCAATGATAAATTGGCTGATTTTCCTTAGTAACCAGTCTTTTCTAGTGTATTTCAGTTACAGATGAACAGATGGTGTTCTGAGGTCGGAGACTGGTCGTTCTATTCTCTTGCATTCTCCACTGTAGCTCTCTTCGGTTGTTGTGGGTTGCACTGGCGCGACGCAATTACTATTTCATCACTGTATGGTGTGGCATCTATATAATGGATAAGTTTTCTATTTCTCTGTACTTTGCTTATAATGTACTAATGGATGTACAAGAATAATTGTTATATAGTAAAGTGCCATAACTGTGTGTATGGATGATCCTAGTGGTATTATGGTGTATTTGAAGTTGTAATTTGCATGCTTTTTCACTCCTGGCGGATAACCTATAATATTATTTGTGTAATATCCTCGTCGCTGCGCCCAGCCCATATAGGTTCTCTCTTAGCTAATCAATTATTTGAATTAAATTTCATTTACATATCCTCTATCGAAAATTAAAAGAAGTTCAAAAATCATTAATGCCGATAGCTTGAAGATAAGAAATATATAAGTATGTCTTTTGACATTAGGCAATAGATGTAAGTATTTGATCATATCTTATATATGTAATTGATAACAGAAGATACATACGGACGCGGAATGCCTGGACTATGATGGGAATGCAGTTTATCCCTTTGCATAAGAAGAAGTGAGTAATAAATGACTTCTCGTGCCTAAGTCGGAGATTATCTATGAATGAACTATAGCATACTTACGGAGAATTATCGATGTAACTAAATGTTCATTAGATTGGAATGAGGAGGTGATTCGCACGTGGAGATATGCAATAGAAATTAACTGAGTTAATGCATTATGAGATACTTAAAATAAAGTAATAAGTAAACAGAGCGTACAAGATCACAATTCGACCCAATTATAACTAGGCCCAATGTTTGTGGTCCGAAGCGATTCATATATTTCGTAGACCACATTCATGAATATATCTTCTATGGTTATACTTCCTACTTAAATAAACAAGACAGTATTATAAGCTTCATTAAATAAGAAATGAAATTCCTTCTGTTAGTCTTGTCTAGAATGATCATAAGTTACTGATATCAGAATTCAGTGGGCTTCTTGCATTTTTTTTTTTTTATGTGGGGTGTCAATCTGTGTTGAGAATTAACAATAAGTTTATTATGTTAAGGTACTTTGGATAGCTCGGGATAAATCCTAGTTGTGCAATGATTACCATCATTTAGGTAATGAGTTAATCATCTAATCGAAATTACGCCAATTAAGTTACTATTGATCGTCAATTACCTTTCTAAAGTATAGAAGACAACAAAAAATAGTGATTACAAAATCTTGCACTGTGATATGTCTTGTCAATGTTCTTTATCACTTATAATAGTCACACATCCTGTATTAATTTGACTTTTTGACCTTTAGTCTTTAGTGAAAAAAGTTCTCTTGATAAGTAATTTCTTTCTTTAGCTCATTATTTCTTTGCACTTAAAAACATTTAATGACCATACTTTGATGGAACCATCTTAGAGTATGGTAGAGAAGGAGGAAAGGTATGCAGACTATTTGTAGACTTTTAGGTTCAAAGACATTTAAGGGATTGATATTTGGATGCTGTGGAATTTAGTCTCATTTCCCAGAGAGAAATGGAAACATGCATGCACTTATGTTATTTAAAATGAATCAATCAACACATGCTCATAAAGCCATCTTATGTTCTAGGCATAGTTAGATATTAGGGGGAAAACAAGAGCTATAAAACATAGTCCTGTCTAGAAGAAGTGTACAATGTAGTTGGAGGAGGACATTGAATGGATTGATGAAAACAAACCGGATACAGGTGGTCCAAAAGTCATGCTTTAATAAAGTTTGCTCTAGAACAGACCAGTCTACTCTTTTTCTATAAAAAGCGTTAATTTTAGTGTCTAAAATCTTAACTACAGTGAATTTAAGGCTCAAAATCCACCTTAAAATTTTTCCAAGAGTGCTTTCGGCCAACCAGTTATTTATGACCGAGTAAGTGAATGTGTTGACAGCTTTGAGAGGCCACACTTTCCATCACATTCTTTCTTATTCATGACATTTTCCAGTATTAGCAAACCAATGACGCTGAAATTGATGACAGAGAGAAAAAGGGGAAGAGAGAGCAATCCATAGCTACTTTTTGTTTTAATCCTTCCTTGCTCATCAGTCAGCTGAACGTGCAGAGTTTTCATGGAATGTGTGCATGTTAAGAAGCTACATAAAAACAGTTCAGCTAGTTTGTACAGAATTTCCACTCTTATGGTTTAAAAAAAACATATTCATATACAAACTGCAAAATAGGAATTGTGTGATTTGGGGGTGATTTTGCATATCAGATAAATGTTTTTATAATATATTTACATGTAAAACTGACATCACCTGATATAAAGATGAATGGTAAAATTCATGCTAATATTATTGAATTTAAATTTTTATAGTAAATAAAATGGAAAGATTAAATAGCAAATTTAAAAAACCATGAAATTTGAGCAACTACAGAAAAAAGAAAAAAGCTTAATGCTTTTATTGCTTTCCTAGGTCTGCCATGACAAAATACAATCATCCCTTATATCTGTGGGGAATAGGTTACAGACCTCCCAAGAATACCAATCTCCTTGGGTGCTCAAGTCGCTTATTTGTTACGGTATCAATCTACCTACAACAGACACACATCTTCCTGCATATTTTAAATCATCTCTAGATTTCCTGCAATCCCTAATACAATGTAATAGCATATGAAGTTTCTTATATGTATTTTTTAATTTGTATATTTTTTATTGTTGTATTGTTATTTTAGATCTGCAGATGGTTGAATCTGCCGATGTGGAACCCATGGATAGGAAGGTCTGACTCTACCACAAACTAGGTGGCTTAACTATAATATCAGAAATTTATTCTTTCACAGTTGTGGAGGCTAGAAGTCCAAAAATCAAGGGGTTTCCAGTGTCATGTCCCCTCCCTCCAAGGACACTAAGGAAGAAGACTTCCTTGCTCCTTGCAGTTGCTAATTGT